TTATTTGCCAGTCAAATTGCTTTTTGATGTAATCACCTTCCGATCAAAATAGTTTTCGATGTTACTTAAGTCACCCAATTTCTATGGAGATGCCGTTTGACTTAAGTAGCAGCGCTGAGAAACCCGTGAAAAGTGTACGTACGTCGTTTCGCTTTCTCATTATTAAAGTGAATAAATCGAACTGTTTGTTGCTAAGATGATTTCGGTGGTCCTAAAATGATGAATGGGCTGCACGTAAGGAGACATAATTGATAATTCTCCCGAATATCCTGGTAAATACACTTTGACTTAAGTAACAATAGGGGCCACCAAACGACGTATAATAACTTTTGACTCAAAAACCAGTATTTTTTAGCATGAAAGCTAGCGATTTGCATTTGTATGATTAAAACCCTGCTAAATATGTTAAACATTGCTATCACTATGAAATTATATGTGTTTACTTTGAAATAGGAATAAATTTTCGGTCATCAAAACAAAACTTTATTTTTCTCGGATTGGTGCGAATGTTACTTACGACATAATGAAAATTTGCTCTTGATTTGACGAAGGCATGGATCATTCTCATTTGAGAAACGCTATATATCATTCGATTGAGTGTAACCTACACACAAACGGAGCTCTAGTCGACATTCCGGCGAAAAAGCTAAGCCAACCCGACACCAACCTGACTTCTACCAAACCCCACCCCGATGTTGACCCGACATAGACCCGACATAAACCCAAAATTTACCCGACAACAACACGACATTGGGTCGACATCGACCTTAAATTAGCCTTACATTGATCCGACATCGGGTCGACTTGTCTGTTCGGGACCATTTTGCTGGATTTCTTCCATACTCCACTGTCGTATATCGAATGATAGTGAGTGACTCAATTGATAGTGACAATGAGCTTCGAATGAGAAAGGGGCTCTTCAAATTATGGTCATGTGAGAATTCGTTTACACAGAATTGATTGAATGGTTGTAGTGGTTCATCTTCAATCGAATGATATGAAAATTTACAGCACTGTAAGGGAGGCCCCTACTTATGTTCATTAGAGAGTATCATTAGGTCATAGGTCATTTTCACGAATTTTTTTGAGGGTAAATAACGATCAATTCAAAAAAAGGAATGCATGGTAATTGAAATGTCCTCTTTAATTGAGATTTTTTTTGGCGCGATTGGATGTCTCCTGTAGCCGCTGCACCAGGTTCCCCAGGAGACCTCCCGTCTGAGTCGTCGCGGGGCGGGACGTCTGGCGGTCACACCACTGGAGCTGGAACAACGAATTTTTTTGTGGTTATTCTCTGATAGATGACCCAGTCTTGTACGTAGCCGTTTTTGATTTGGTTGAAAAATAAAAATTTGGCGACGTTTTGAAAAAAAACAGTTCGTTTTTGTACCCTAAAATTGGAGATAAAAGCTTGCACCAAAAATCCATTTTTGATTCTTTTGAAAATCGGCTACGTACAAGACTAGAAAAAAGGTACTTAACTCGAAAATGCAATCGCCGTTTAAATCGAATTAGCCGTTTCTAAAACACAGCACCCGCCAATTTTGAAAACATCGTTTAGAGATAATCGCGGCAGCAGTTGGAACTACTGAGACACGCCGTTTCGCCGGTAACTGGCGGGTACTCCGAGCGCTCACCTGAGCGCGCTTGGAGCGTCTGGACACGAGTCCACTAATCGGCCTATAACTTTGGAACGATGTCACTTGCGGACTTGCGGTCAAGTCTATGTCAAAGTAGACATTCCAAAGTATTTTTTAAGTAAAAAAAAAAAGATTTTTTGAAATTTCCAGAGTGGACTACCCCCTTAAATGACACTTTGAAATTGACCAAAATCGTAGAACATCAACTGTTAATACAAATCTTGAACATTTTTCTTCAATTTTTTGTCACTTACACCCTTAATGAATCCATCAATTTAATTTCTAATAGGGCATTGGTTTTGGTTCAGGTTCATCCTAGTTATAACTCGTGTGCAGGGGTTGAAACAGTTGACGTTTTTTACTACACTCGCTTCGTTGTCGTGCGCGACAGTCTGTTTGTATTCGAACACTCATGCTCTACCGTCGTCTCTTTCACACAACACGAGTGGTAGAATAACATTCGAGCTAAAAGAAAATTATCAAAATAGCTATCATATGACATGTGTGATTTCGTTGTAATTCCTCAATTTGGTGTAAATCAACCCATTTCTGATCAGAAATATTATTACTAGGACATCATTACTTGCTATTTTCAGAATTCACACAAGCACACCATCAGCAGCTCTTATTATGAGAAAAACTAAAATACATACATTCGTGACGGTCATCGGCGACAGTGTCGTATGACAGAGCCTGTCATACGACATTTTAGTTTGGTATTGTACTATGATAGCTTGCTTTGCAAGTGTCGGAGGCAAAGGCAGTCAATTATCACAGAAAATGTGTCGACTACCGTGACCGCTTACAAGACTGCTCGTGTGATCTCGACATTATAGTAAATACGAAACTCACTCATACATGTTCATCAAATTTCAATATGGCTGTCATATCGCTTAAGTTTGCTGCGTACCGAAAATCTGCAACGTTTTCAGCGGTACCATGATATAATATGTTGTTTTGATGTTGAGTTCGTGTATTCAGCTATATGTCAAACCCCTGATAAGAACATCCTTGATGAAACTATGTGGTAGAATTAGCGTGAAATCTGTTTGCATAGCTGTAGTTATGAAAAGAGATAGTCGATGAAGAGAATCGATCAATGCAGATAGGACGTTTTGAAATGTTTATCTAGAATTGGTTGAGTGTGAGAGGAAAGGAGCGCTTCTTGTTTGCTTTAAGCCTATCCAATAGAGCTAATGGCGCTGGTGTTCCCTTTGTTCCGATTTTGAAAAATACCGGGTACAGAACTGTCAAACTGCATAGTTTTTTTCTCGCTTTGACAGTTGTGTCCCTATTAGATGTAAGCAAAAGATGTTTCGACAGCGACGGCACAGCTATTCTTCTTCTATAGCTTATTAGCTCTATTGCCTATCCATATTATTGGTTTTGTTTTAGTTAAATGGGTCTAATTTTTGTTTTAATATGTCCAGTGGTGCTACATGGTTGACCATAAGAACTTTTAGAAGAAGTCTGAAGGACTTCATAAACAAGTTCAGGAGACTTCATGGCAGATCAAGCGGGTTTGCTTAAGAATATATATTGAAGTCAGGTATATTCAGGTCGGGTCAGGACTCAGGACCGCTGAACTTTTTACGTTTGCCGGAGAACTTCCAAAGGGAAGCTCCAGAAACTTAAAGTAAATGTTAAGTGCACTTCAATTGTAAGACTAAAGAGCTGCTAGAGTGAGTTCCTAAGTATTACAACAGGCATGTGCTTAGAAGATTTTATAAGTGGGTTTGAAGAACATCGGATGTTGTTCCAGAGTTTTAGTGCAGATAGGGATGACTTATGAAGAAGGTTTTGACCAAATATCTTTGTCATTCGACTTTTTGTCATACAATATATTTTCAGTATATTTTAGTATATTGGAATAGGGTCAAGCACTTGTTCTTCACTGGTTTTTATTAGTGTTGTTTGCTTGTCGAAAACCCACACATAGCTCATTATTACCCATACACGCAAAACAAATGGCATGCACATCAAATGTAAGGATCAAGTTTCCAGTATCAGTATTTTTATACAAAACCTTCACGAGATGATTTTTTAGCAGCAGTGAATTTGATGAATCAAACTTTGTTCAAAAAAATCACCTTTTAACAAATCGCATGCTCGCTTATCTCATAGGTATGTACCATGCGTTGCATTAGGTAAACATTAAATGGTAATAGCTTTTTGTACAGAATTCGCATCGATGTGAGGTTTTTGGCAAATGTTGTTCTACATAGTTTTCTCAATCTTGGAATTCTCCCGCAAATCTAGATTGGATCCAAATCTGTCAAAATTTGGCACAGTTGTTCGTGTATTGTATTGCAATTCAGGTTAAGCTTTTTTGGGAGGGGATAACCCTCCTACTAGTATCATCGTGCTTGCCACACAATGCACGAATCAATCAAGTTGAGGGCAGGCATAAAGTTCCAAATGGAACGTAATATCCATGAAGAAGAAGAAGAAGAAGAAGAAGAAGAAGAAGTTATTTTCAATATGCCGCAACATATAATTAAAGCATACAATAAATGCTTCACATAAATGTGCTCCCTATCTCTAAATAGGTGCTTGTTCTTCGCAAATGTGGTGTGCATTCCATTCAGAATCCACTAGCATAAAAACGTAGAAATTGCGCCAACAATTATCTAATATGTCATTAAACCGGCTCTTTTTCGCTCTTCCCATAACTATGAATCACATCAGAAGACCCAACAGTAGGCATAGGTATGCATATAAGCATGCCACATGCAACACCGAACAATAACGCTCATTTGCAAAAAAAAAAACCATATCAAACATACCATCTACGAAAATGGATATTTATGGGTCCGTTCGTTGTTGGTCCGTTTTTCAGCCGTCTCGTTTCAGATGTTCTTCGGTGAAACACTCCACGCTAAAACAACAATTATGCAACCTGGTAAGGGTTAAACTCCTCGCTATTTATCATCCGCACATTTGTTTGAGCCACACGGTGGTCTGCAGGTTTTAATTTGAAATGGCCACTATTATAGTTAGGCTCTCTCGGAAACTTTAGGCGTTCGCGGCAGCGACGTCCTTGGTTTGAAACTGCAGTGCATTATCACTTATTGTTTTTCATATCTGCCGGGCTGAATGGAGAGGAGGTTTTTTTTCCAGATGTATAGGATACCACGCTCTGTCTAGCACGCGACTCTTTTCATCTGAGTCCTACTAACTCAGATACGGGTGAGAGAAAAACCCGCGAACAAAAGAACTTACATCCAGGTTCATTGGCATGAGTAACACGCATCCATGGAATTATTACTTGTCATGTGGGGAAATTCAAAGCGTGTGACACATGCATTTGACCTATTAAGAAGTTTCACGTAATCATACTGCTCAGGTTGGTGAGACACGTTTAGCATATATGTAGATGAACAAACAGCTGGCCACAGTGGGTGTGAATTCGAAAATGTGTATGGTACATTATTATAACGATTAATGAGATGTTAATGAACATAAACATTCGCGTGATTGATAAACTGCTGAATACAAGCACCCTTTAATAGTGAATATTGACTTTCTCCAGCTCATGAAGAAATTTGAAACCATCTCCAGTATTTAATTGCTCTGCCATTTTTAAAGCAAAAATAAAACAGCGAAGAGATCAACATCGTAAATAGTGTGAAAAATCCAACCGACATTTTGCGGTTGACAGCGTGACGTAATGGGTGGCCTTAACCTAAAGCGTGGTGGATAGAAAGCAATGATTACCGTCGGCAGCGCCTGAAGACGTTGGGTGTGAAAGCAAATTGAAAAAAAAAAGAATTGTGAGAAAACCAGAGTAGCGTGAACTTTGACGAGACGGTTTATTAAAACACCTATTTTATACTGCTTCTGCTGGTCTGGTTTCGAGACCCATAGGACCTAGCGATAATGGCAGAAGTGAAACCATTGAATGCATCAGATAAACCGAAGGAGGTCAGTGAGCAGTCGGAAAATGCCGACTATTTCCTGCGTAATCTTTTCATTCCTGCTGATGCTGGTGGAAATTTGGGCTTGCACCTCAGTCGAACACCGTGGGATCCTTATCCTTGGGTTAGCGGAGTATTAACAGGATCGAGTGCAGAACAAGCTGGAGTACGGATTGGAGATTGTGTATTGGAGGTAAGTCGTAGGGGTTAGATAAAAATTGGCCTACACGGCGAATGAGAACGACCCAAATTTCAGTTTAGTTCACTCATAATCGCCAAAAGTGCAGGAACTCAGCGATGAGTAAAATTTGTCTCATGGTTTCCTGTGGAAAACCTAAAAAATCTGCCGGAAAATGAGTAAATTGACGAAAATTTTATTCAGACTCGGAGTAATACCAATAGACTGAGTGAATCCAATCTTTACTTTTCTTGAATTCGGGATTTTCCTCTTCAAAGTCTATGAAAAACCTGGAAAAACATGAGGCAAATTTACTCATCGCTGAGTTCCTGCACTTTTGGCGATTATGAATGAACTAAACTCAAATTTGGGTTGTTCTCATTCGCCGTGTACTAAGCACAACCCGCCCTTTGTCTTTGTTTTTCTAGTGAAATTTTTCCGCAAAATGGAATGTTTTCACTGTAGATGACTTCTAAATGTATTTACCTTTCCGTACGTACCATAAGATTTAATAAATAGGGTAAATTAAATGGATGTAATGTCGGCCTAAATGCCTCTAACTATGACCCATACATAAATTCAGCAATCGACTATATTTTCAATAACGACCAAAAATATCAATTAGAGCCGGAGATGAACCAGCGTCTGGCTGAAAATCTCCTTAATAAAGACAACCAACCCAACCATATCAATTAGTACCGTCCCAATAACGCGGTTATTTAGATAGAATTGATAAATAGCAAATTCTTAGCGATAGGCCCAATCTTAGATCCATAGACCAACATTAGAGCCATTTCCGTAAATTGTTTAAAAAGGCCTTTCAGGGCGGACACTAGCATTGGGCGATTTTGAGGCAAGAATCGATCTTAGTGAATCGATCTTAGTGAATCGATTCATTTTTTTAGAAAATAATCGATTCACTGATTTAATCAATCATTTTGATTCGATTCAGAAAAGTCCGAATAAGCTTACTTGTCGGATTGAAAACTAGTTAGAACCAAATCGACTTCGTTTAGGCATCTTGATGTCATTTGTGACAACTGTCAAATCAAGAACAACCTGTGAAAAGGGCATACAAGCTTTTGGTAAACAAACCATCTTATGCCATTTTCTCGCCACTCATATGACACCAACGCAAACTATTATCTTCATCGGGTAGGTGAAACTTTACCCTTCCCGATGATGTTGTTGGTTTGCGTGGGCGACCCTCGGTTGGTGAGAGAAGGGCCTGCAAAGGTTTGTTTACAAAAAGCTTGTATGCCCTTTTCACATGTGGCTCTTGAAATTTTTTGTTTCCGTTCCGCTTCCGCCCACATTGCGTTTGGGTTTTAATAGTCATTTTGAAATAAATAGAAATAAATTGTTTAGTACGTACGCAGTAAAAGTTGTGAGTGTAACATATATACAAGATGAGAATGTAGTTAATTACTATTTTCATTTCATTCGAATTTCACCAACCAGCGTCTGCGAGTGGTGCGCCCGTACAAAATGGCCGAATTAAAGATGCTGGAAAGGGCGCCGGCTAGGGTTCCGAAACTCTACTGGATCGTCCCTAAAAGGGAGCCAACGCCGTACCGTTCGGAAGTTCCTTAGCTTAGTCGGGCAAACTTAAAAGAAACGACCAGTGTTTTCTCGAATCTGAGAGTGGCGCATAAGCCACTGTGTTTGCAACGTATCACTTAGAGCATTCGACGGACGGTTACAGATGGTCCGAATGTAAAAGTTGGTAAGTACGGAAAGTACTTGATTCAGATATCCCAAAACTCATTCAAGAGAGATCCCAAGAAAGCTAATTGAGCCATGCGTTTTGCATTGAGCCGATATCGATTCTGAGTGGTTTCCCAATTTTAGAGAATAGCCTCTCTACCGGAACACTTGTTACCATTTTTGATAAATAGTCTCGAGCAACGGGGTATACATGGGGATATTCATTACGGATTTTCTCCCATGCTGGTCGACAGAACGTGGGAAAACAGGCTGTTGCAAGATTTTTTTTAAATTCTGCCGATATGCCTCCACGATGATCCAGTTCTGACATAGCAGAGGACTGATGAACCTGAAATATGTCATAAGAAGTGAATGTTTGTACATATGCAGATTAATAACTTTCTTTACCATTTCGTCGTGAATATCTCACAGGCCTCCGGTTGGATTTGGTGGGGGGACAGATGTGTGTATATCATCGTATACTCTTTCAGTACTATACATACTATCATGTATATCTTCTCAGACCCAGCTGAGGGTGAGCTGAAGACTCAAGGTACAGGTCAATATTAAATTGCAAATGCAAATGCACTGACATTTTTTGGATTGAAACGAAAATCGAATGAATCCAGTCGATTTTTGTCGTGTTTGGGATCTATTCAAAAAATAGACTAATCGAACCAAAATAATCGATCTTTTATGTTTCGATCCAAGATCGCTCATTGCTAGCCGACACGACCTGCTGGAAGTTGTTCCATCGGTTGCTCAACGGTTGTTGGATGGGTACAGGAACAACGAACACATTTTCGGAGTAACGAATTTACGACACGCTTATCGTGAATTGGCCAAAACTCTTGACGCATTTCAGACCTCGTTTCAGACAACGGTCTGCAGTGGAAGTTTCGGATTTGAAATCAACTAGTCGCTGTCACTGCAAGTTACGTAGATCCTGAGGAAATCGTTTAGCCAGGGCGATTCGAACAAGAACCAGTTTTGCTGACTGTATCTCTTTTTCAGTCAAATCAGCGGTACTTATGCGGTTATCTGGATGACGACAGTTGTGATAGAATCGACGACAATAGGCGACAATCCTCAATAGTGGGGTTAACGAAGAACGCAGAGTCAAGGTTAACTTTGTGGACAGTCTTACGGGTTTCTAGCTGTTCGTCGGCAAAGCTTGATTCTGTAGCCTATAAGTTTGAAGTGGTTAAGACTAGGGTTCTGATGCATGGTTATTATCGGTGTCATTCTTTAATTTTGTTGCTAAGGAATCCAATTTTGACTGACAAATGGGGCGCGCCTTTGGAGGGTGTTTCAACACTCCGAAGGGTATTAATAGCGGGGTATAAATAGAGTCGGATCCTTGCGATAAATGCGAGAATGACAACTGTAAAAATCGAATACTTCATCATTTCTCAATAGTGATGGAGTAATACGACATGCACTAAACTAAGGATACTACAATAGATCAAATAACTGGTCGCAGTGGTGTTAGGTCCCGAACAGAAGAAAAAAAACCTGATTCGGCGAAGTTTCTTCAGCCTCCTGTAGCCATAACGGTCCCTTCTTTCACAGTTGATTTTGCAGAAAATCATCTATTGCTAATACCCGAGATACCAACTCAGCAGGATTCTCCTTTCCAGCAACATGTCGCCATGGTTGATTGTACGCAAGCGTATGAATCGTCGAAACCCTGTTAGCGACGAATGTTTGCCATGAGTTGGGAGGAGCTCGTAGCCAGTGCAAGACAATGGTACTGTCCAACCAGAAGATAGAGTGTACAGTATCCAATGAGAGAGCCTTTGTCACCTTGGAGTGAAGACGAGTAGCTTCTCTAGCCGCGCAGAGTTCCAGCCTTGAAAACGTTAATCTTTTAAGTGGCGCAACGCGTGACTTCAACGAGAATAGCTTAATCCGCACGTTTCCTGCTTGATCCGTCGCCTGCACGCACAAATAAGCACCGTATGCTAACGTAGAAGCATAAGCAAAACAGTGAAATTGTAAATCGATCCTATTCGAAACAAAGGCAATTCGACTATTAGTAGTTCCGAGATTTTTCCCAAATGTGAATGGAAAGCCTTCCATTTCTTCTCGAACAGGAACAGGCTCATCCCATCCAGACTTCAGCAAAGCTAGCTCCTGCAAGATAATTTCCGCCGTAACTATTAGTTGAGCAATCAATCCCAATGGATCGAAGAGTTTGGCAATAGCAAAAAGATGCTCCTTCTATTCCAGATTTGCTCATTTTCCCCTACGTCGTAGTTGAAGCGTAATTGATCAGTCCCGGGTTCCCAGGTGATTCCCAAAGTTTTCACCTTCTCTTCCGGACTGATTTCGAAGGAAATCGGTAGATTTGTTCCTAGATGATCGGCAGGGATACCAGTCAAAACCACTGGCCGATTTGAACACCATTTTAGCAAACCAAATCCTCCTTTCCTTAGTAGAGTGCCTAGATCCTTCTGTAATTGGATAGCTCCTTCCACGCTGGATGCTCCACCAATATATTCATCCACGTAGAAATCTTTCACTAGTGAATTGGGATATTCAGCTCCTTCGTCCGCCGCCAACTGATGCAATGCGTTGATGCAATGCAAGAACGACGAAGGCTTCAACCCGTACGTTACTGTAAGTTACTCGAAGACCTTTATTACTTCATCAGCAGAGAACCTAAAGAAGATGTGCATCAGTCCAGTATCATCCTCGTGTACATCTCCGACAAGTGCTACTTCATGCTTCCGGAAACGTAGCAGCAGACATAGAAATTCATCCTGAAACGTAGGACCTTTTAAGAAGAAAGTCATTCAACGAATATCCGCTATCCGTACAAGCAGATCCGTCAAATACAACGCGTACTTTGGTAATAGTGCTGGATACCTTCAGTACAGCGTGGTGGGGTTGATAGAATAATTTTCGGTCATTCATTGCATTATCCTCCCCCCGAGGTTCGTCCTGACCAGGGTGGCCAGACCTACCGGTAGTCCTACCGATTTTCGTGATGCCTGCAGATTCACAGACGAAAGGTTAAAAACTACCGATTTTACACTTTTCCTACCGAGAATCACAGATTTTTAGTAATCTTGAAATATGTTCAATACCCATGTTTTGTTTTCCGTGTAGTCAGAATTAGCATTTAAAATATAAATATTGATTACGACACGATTAAAGCAGAATTGTATTGTTCCCCCTCCCCCTTAAGGGTTTCAAGTATCGTCTGCTATAATTTGTTCTCCGTGATGGTTTAAAGGAATAACATTTAACGTTTGCTTGAAAAATACTTACGTTTCGGTTTTACCCAACTGGGGCCGGAATCG